TCCTCTTATTTTGTGATATTTCCAGCACAGTGCACAGTTCCGAGGGTATAGTCAGGTGTTCAAACAAGGATCCAAACATTGACTCTTGTTCCTGTTGCCTTATGGGCAGTTGGGACATTGACAAGGCATAAATATTTGCCAAAGAATCATGAATAAGCTCAGCTGGGAATCAACTTTGATATGCAAATGACAGAGGTAGTTATAAACATATTTAAAAAGTTTATTTTAAATTAAAAAAGTAAGTTGTAAAGTACATGGGGTCAGGCGGGCCATTTAAGAAAATGGCCTTCTCTGTGGCATCTCATTGCGTTGAGTTTTGATCATCTCTGTGAAGGAAAATGTCGAGAGGAAAGAAGGCTGCTTGTCGACTGTAACCTACAGACAAATGAAAACCCGGGCTGTGTCCTGAGAGTTTTAGGTAATCCAGACTCATAATTTGATTTGAGAAGAGCTACTCCAGGCTACTGTGTAATTATAGAAGCATTCACTCGGCTGGCTCCTGTTCGCCTCATCACGTTCTACCTCATTGCCCTTTATACTAAAGCCCCTGTTGATGAGAGGGCGGAAACGGTGAGTACAAATAAAGCAATTAGCAGGTGGGGAATGCTACCACTGTTTAAGGATAACATACAATCTTTATTGGCGCTTATTAAGTAGAAGTCTAGAGCTTAGAGACAAAGGGAAACATCGCAAGCCACAAAAATGAAAAGGAGTGTGGGAACATAAAGGGAATGGGGAAAAATTATTCCAGCGTATCTACTTCATATTTCACAAATCTGATCCCAGAGGCTGCTTTAAAAAAAAATTAAACCTCCAGTTTATTTCTGTTACAGCGAGTTACGTTCTCAACGGAAATTCACCTTCTAGCTTTCTTCCTTCTTCCGACCTATTCTTTTATGATGTGAATTAGCTTGAAAAACATTTTAAGCAGTTACTGCGTTCCGCTGAGTTTTGAATTCGGGTTGTAGTGAAATCCGCCAGCAGGGGGAGTTAGGATGATTAACAAACCTTGGCAGGCCTGACGTTCAGAACACAGATTCATAGGCACTGTTGGCAGCACTGAAAATGCGCACTGTAGATAAGGAATATAATGGGCAAAAGGAGGAAAGCAAGAGGATTTCAAGTGTTCAAGTGTTCTTGAAATCCCAGCACAGGATATTGAAGATGGACAAGAAAATAGGGCACAGGCTTTCTACCTCCATTTGCAGAGTAAGTCATACACTCTGCTTCTTGGTTAACTTACCTGAAAGCAGGGAGAAGACGACTCTGCTCATCCAGAATGCCGTAATTCTCATATCTTGGTAGATATCATTGCTTTTCATGCTCTAGCCTTATTTCTTCTGTCTGAGCACCAAGGTAGAGTATAAATGACCGCTGTACTTCTCAGAGCCGCAGGAAGATGCCCCTGCATCTGGTTTGGGCCTACTACCTTTGTCCTCGAATGCCTTATTAATTAAAGCTCTGCTGTCAACTTCAGCTACCTAAACAGGATGTAGTTTCCAAATGGAATAGATTTCCAAGCAGCCAACTTGAAAGAAAAGTATGGGAGTTTGCAGAAAAATCAATATGCTTTTCCTTTGCCTTAGTAACAGGAGGGTACTTTGGACAGAGACATGTACGGATACCTAGAAAGATAAAGTCTTATACTGGCAGTAGAAATTAATATTGCAAAGGTAGATCCTTGTCTTCATCCCAAAAACACTTAGCTTCTTTTAGGGAATACTTTTGGTTCTACTGCAGGTTTTCCATCACCTCGCAGCCACTTGAGTCAGACCCAGAGTGTCCAAAGTAAAGTCTCTTGGACAATAATACTGAGAAAAATGTTTATTTCACCCTTTGATGGAAATCACAGCACCTCCATCGGAGACATTATCTCAGTCAGATCAGAGGACTAAAGATGATGGTGGCCAGGCCTTTCCAAGTATCATTCATGGGAGGTGACTTCCGTAGGCAGGGCAGGGAAGAATGGCTTCCAGAATATGCGAAATGCTCAGCACTTAGTGTGCCTTTGATGCTGTGAATAGTGCTAGTAAATATATAAATATGCATATCACAGACTTTCTTTAGGAGAGTGTACATTGTGTATTTAAAACAGATTTTATTTGAGGATTACCGTTATGGTCATAAATTATTATCCCAGTCCCGCATATCCAAAAACACTGAATTTCTCAGATGATGAATACTAAGCCATAATTTCACGAATGTACAGAATTTTCATTTGTATTCTCTCTCATTTCCATCATCATCCTCATTGTAACCGCCACCATCCACTGAATTTGTTTTAGTGCTTCATAGTCTTAAAGGTGTTTCATAGTCATGAACTTACTTAATTCTTAACCATCTGTGATTTTGACAGGTGATACAATATGATTTTGCAGATAAAGAAACGGATACAGAGAAGCTCTGTGACCTATTCGGGGATGGCTCGGTTTGGGAGAATATCTAAGTGTCTAGGTCAGTTCGAATCAGGTCACCATCCATTATCAATTTAAAGTTACAAATCCAAGAAACTGGAAATCGTTTCAGTAACTATTCAGCTCTTGGGAATTATTAGTACTGAGTAAAAAAGGAAAAGAACAAAATATTCACACGTCGTCTTGTGCCTGGGAATCTTGGTATTTTAGAAATGTGCCAAGTGGCAGAACAGGACGTGGTGAGTATGCTTCGCCTTCCTACCCCTCCTGTTCTCACCCCTGCATCTTTCCTTTGTGTCAGTTTAAAAAATAATGGGCAAACCTAGATGGTCGTAGTTGAGCAGAAGGACTTGTGAATCTCACTGCTTACCCCTGTGAACAGGACTTCAAAAGTGGTCCCTACAGATGCCTCTCTTCTCTAAGATCTCACCCCACTCCAGGGCATAAGAACTTGGTTCTTGGTTGTACTTCTGGGGAGGCTGTCAAGAATTTTTCTGCGTTGACAAACCCAGAGCTGCACCATTTGAGCTGTCCAGTTCATCTCCTCCAATGTAGGCTCCGAGCAAATTCTTTTTCTGTTACATAGTGATAGGTAGTTCCCCTTTGATCGTTACAATTTATATTTGATGACAAAGAACCTTTTCAAGAACATACTCATTGACAGTTTGAAGGGCTGAACAAATGTCTTTATTTCTACTTATTTATTTTTGAGATGGAGTCTTGCTTTGTCGCCCAGGCTGGAGTGCAGTGGTGTGATCTTGGCTCACTGCAACCTCTGCCTCCCAGGTTCAAGTGATTCTCTTGCCTCAGCCTCTGGAGTAGCTGGGACTACATGTGGATGCCAGCATGCTTGGCTAATTTTTGTATTTGTATTTTTTTTTTTTTTTTGAGACGGAGTCTCACTTTGTCACCCAGGCTGGAGTGCAATGGTGTAATCCTGGCTCACTGCAACCTCTGCCTCCTGGTTCCAAACTATTCTCCTGCCTCCGCCTCTGAAGTAGCTGGGATTACAGGCATGCACCACTACGCTTGGCTAATTTTTGTATCTTTGGTAGAGATGGGGTTTCACCATGTTGGCCAGGCTGGTCTGGAACATCTGATCTCAGGTGATATATCTGCCTCAGTCTCCCAAAGTGCTGGGAAAAGAGGCATGAGTCACTACTCCTGGCCAAATGTCTTTATTTTTAAAACAAGCATTTCAGTCTACAGAATTTGTAAAGGATGAAGATTTGTTCTAATTAGGTTCATTCTCATGGAGGACGGAATTGTTTTTATTTGCTTGTGAATGGGACCAGAGATACTTACAATCTACCTCCTACAAGTGTCTCGCCTGGATGCCCTTTAGGGTTTCTTTTCTTCATGGTAGCCTGCGACCTCTTTGGGCCTGGGCTGAGTGAAAGATCGCCTCGTAGATCATCAAGAGTAGACCACAAATGATGATGAATGCTTCCATGCTGCCTGGAGCCACTGCACCTGATGGATGCCATTTGAAACTCCTGCAGGAAATACGAGGCATCCTGCTCCAAGTGTCCTTGAAGCCAGTGGCAAATTCCTCTTGTTCCCTCAAAAAGCATGCTTCCTGTTGTTTTTGGGTGGTCTTCCCAATACTTAGACCTGAAAATGTTTCACAGAGAAAACAAAGAGCATATTTTAAATTCTCAAGTAAAATACTCCCTGATTGGTAGAACTTGGTTTCGATAGCATGGGGTGGAAGTAGCGTGGCTGTTTATTTACGATGAGCATTTTGAGGCAAGCAGGCCCGATGCAGTGTATGACAGCACCGCCCTTCATTCTCTGAAGCAGCCAATTCCTACCAGCTGTTCAGGCCAGTTTCTGACTAGGCAAGTTGTTCCTTTTAGATCCTGTCTTCAAGGCAGTTCTGATGGTGGACAGAGGACTCATTTTTCCCTGCTTGTCCGTGTGTCTGTACAGTCATTGGCTGCTCAGAGACTCCAGGTTGGAGGGCTCTGTAAGTTATCCTCACCAGCCTTTCTGAGCCAGACGCAGAGGACACACCCCAACGGGCTGGTAAAAGCAGTACATCTAATCACATAATGCCTCTATAATGTGTGTTTTTTTTTTTAAATTAAGTGACCCACAGGATATTAATCTGGTGGAAACAACTCCCAGAGGATGCAGCACTGGCAAACGCTTCAAGAGCTGCCAGTACCCATATTAAATGTGATGCGTGTTTTATAAGCCATGGGAGGACTTCAGTGCTGTAGATGCTACATTGTTCATAAACCTGTCATAAATAAGTGTCTCTTAAAGAGAAGCCAACTAATAAATGTGCATTGAATTACAAAGCTTCAAAATTCTGTAACACGGGATCTCTCCCCCACGCCCTCCGCCAGCGTTCCTGTCCCTGCCGGGACCCGCCTTGTTTCTGAAGCTGTTATAACATTTTCCACTCTGTGGCCCATCTCTGTTTAGTTGTTGTTGATTGAGTTATTTGGTTGGTTCAGAGGCCTGAAAAAATAAAGAAAAAAGATCTGTAAGCTATAAAATGCAGCTTCCTTCTTCCTTTGTCTGTGTATTGGAGTCTGGCGAGGCGCTAGAACCCCACCCCAAACCTCCCACCAAGACTATGTCATATTTCTATATGCTCGTGCATGTTCAGCTCTACCTCTCTTGAAATGCTGCCCAAACCCCAGCAATGTTTACATAAGTAAAAGGGAGTCTCACTTTTATGCTGTAATTTCTGCATGGAGCAGAGTTTTCCCAGCCGTACCTTACACTTTGTTCATAGGTGAACTTTTCTTTTTCTAATGTGACGGTTTTATCCAGCTTTGACAACAGATTTCTCTAGGAGATTACACACCTGGAATTAACTTTTTCTGCCAAGAATTACGGTGCACCTGGAAGAACTAAATCATTTTTATCTATGTTTCGGAAGCTTTGTGTGGGGAAATTGCGTATCTCGAACTTGACTTGGCTCTTGAGGAGAAGCTTAAGGCCTGGAGTCAGGTAGATAGGTATATGCTGGTGCTGCGGAGTGAATACATCCAGCGTTGACTTTTCACCGGCCAAATGCTCACTCCCTGACCAGCATCTCCCTGAGCACCTCACTTCTTAAATGACCCCGCGTGCTGCATAACACATGGAAATGTGAGTATGCACTTTCAGCAGAGAGTCTGCTATGTTTACACCAGTTCTAACACGAATCCCATTAATGTTTGATGTCATCCCCAACGGGTTTCAGGAGACGTCGGACCCTACACCTACCATGTGTGGTTGGCATCATCCGCACTTAAACAAGGAGAAGGATGGAGAAGGATTTTTAGAGATTTCTTTCCTTAAGATGTTTGCAACCAGATGAAATATTTTGAGATTGGGAAATACTTTCTGTAAGTATGAATGCCACCAAAATATCACCTCAATTAATTTAAAAATATGCAGGGAGTTCATTATAAATAGCCCTTTGTAATGTCTCCGTTTGGAGACATTCTGTTATAAAACTGTGGATAAGGTCTTTCGAGGTACAACTGTGAGACTATCTTCAAGAGTCAGAAAAGTTATTACGAACTCCCGCCTACACGTTAGAAAGATAACATGGGGTGAGTATTAGAAATGACTTATATGGTTTCTTGAGGGTGGGGAGGGAAGTGTTATAGGAAATTGACAGGAAAAATGTCTTAAATCTGAAGTTTTGCTGTCAGCACTAGGGCTCCTGTTTCTGTCATGAAACCAGGACATGCTCTCGTTTTCCTGACATGAGGTAGTATTTGCTAGAACAACAAACGCTTTTCATCCCTAGGCATCCTGGAGTTTGCCAAACTGGTTCTGCTGATTCTTGTCAAACAAGGATAATTTTTTCTCTTGGTTGCCTCTGATATGGTGTCAGCATTTTAAAGGCCAAAGTTACTATAGTGACAAATTACTTGAGTATAAACATTTATTCTGTGTAGACAAAAATGCTGTACGATTAAGAAAAGGGTTAGAAAAATCATGGATAAACCAACACATTTATTTTGATGGATTTCTTTCTTAGGCAACATAAGAATGATTTTATAAGTGATATTGTAAATAATGTTTAGTTAAAAACAAGAGTACAGAAAAACAAAATATAGATACATTAAAATATATCTGCTATCAAATTCAACTATAAATAGTCGAGTTTCACAAATTACTATTTTCTGTTAACTATGGTTTAATTTTACACAAATGTGACTACATTCTGCCCCAGTTATAGATAAACTCATTATGTTCTATAAGGAGTTCGAATTTCCTGATAACCAGTAGTCGAAGTGAAGAACAAGCAGAATTAGTAGCCAAGTCTAATAAACGACTGGGAAAAATTGTATCTGTCTCATCCTCCTGGTTCCCACACACTCTAGTTACATCATTACTTAGCCTGTAAATTTGGAGGCCAATTGGGCTCCAGAGCTTGGGTCAGGTGACTAAAACATCAAAATGTGTCTGAAACTCTACCCTAAAGATGGGGTTTCAGCAGGGCCTCTGGATAGCTGACTCCTCTGCGGCTGCTGTGCAATTTTCGTATTTTATTTCACCTTTGCTTTCAGGCTTAGCTTTTGGTCCCACAGATTGATGGCTGAAGCAAACTCGTCGATTTGGGTGTTTCTGTGCAGGTGCATGGGCAAAATTATTTCCTGTACCACATACTACAATCGGTTATGTAATAGCTTAAAAGAAAACAAAAACAAACTAGACCTTTCCCTGTGAATTGGTTTTCATCAGAGATCATTCTAACCCCTTAATTTTTATTTTATCTATTTTTTTTGGGGGGGGCGTTGAAAACGGTTTTGAATATTTTTGAAACCCGTTTTGAATTATTTTATTTTAAAACATAATTTAATGTCTAAATCCACAAAACTTAAAAGCCAAGGTTATTAGGTCTACTGGATGCAACTCCCCATCGTTGGAGCTGAAACGCTCTGCTCTTCTTAAAAGGAACGGAATGTGTAACTCTATCACCTTGCTAAGGTTTCACAGGGCAAGTATAGTGATGACACAACCGCTTGTTTTCTGCAGATGTAGAAAGGCATTTTTTTTTTTTTTTTTTTTACGTGTGCAGGAAGCAACAAAAAACCTGGTCTTAGGGGACAGGTGAGTGAGTTGCTTTGCAAGAAATAAACCAAATAATCCTTCAAGTTGTAGCAACATATACAGAACCAAAAGCTTGACACCTCTGTACACAAACCTATTTTCATGTTCAGGTGTACATTTCTCTTGATTGCTACGAGAGGTGTTGTGATAGTTTCTGGCTGGGAATTTGTTCAGCGAAGTAAAAAACATCAGAAATGGAAAATCCACTGGAAAATAACCTTGATACATTGTTATCAGGTATTTAAAAATGCCTTCAGGAGCAGGGAGGATGCACTGAAGAAGGAAAAAACTCAGGTGAAAATTAATCTTGTCAAAAACCAAGGCAAACAAAGCAAATTGTCCTTCTTCCTGGATCAAATAATTCCATGAACCGTGTTCCGTGGCTTATGCAGCAAACATTAGCATGTGCTAATTACCATGCTGCAGGACAGGGATACAAGGAAGGTAGTGAGGTATAATAATGATGATGTTGATGATGACAGCCACCGTTTCTGTAGGACTCACGGCGTACCGCGCTGTACCAAGCATGCTACGTTTACCCTAAGCCTCACGTTAGCTCAGGAAGGAAATGATTCCATTTGGCAGAAGGAACAACTGAGGATCAAAGAAGACACGTGATTTGCTCAAGATCACACTTCGGTTGTGTGGTGAGCCCCAGAGATAGAATTTCAGTCTACACTGGCTTTAATCTAGGAACTCTGTTCGTAACTGTTCTCCCACATTTTCTAGAGATCGGATAGAGATACAAGTCTTTCTTTGTCCGTAGGAGGTTTTAATCCTGTGTTGGCGTAAAGTAGATGAAGAAATAATTGATGTTACACATGTTAAAATACCCACAGGACTAAGTGCTCGAAGACAGTCAAAGTTTGAGGGAAGAACTTCTGGACCAGAACTTTTCTGAGGAACCCTGTGTCTATGGCAGCGGAGCAGGGACGAGGGTGGGTGGTAGACTAACATCTGGTTATCTTTTCCCCTGCAGGCAATCCTTTGGAAAGAACTGATTTCTAGTTTTATCCTGCGAAACTCTCACTGAAAGCGCTGCGTAAGACAGAGCAAACTCCTGTCCCCACAGGTGCCTGCCAAATAAAGTAACGAGGTGTTCGCAGATTTTCCGGTACGAGTCCTTCAGTTCTAATTCATGGTCCGGGTCCTTGGTACATGCTGTTACTAATATTAGGTTTCAGCAGAGAATAATGAACAGGAACACAGGCCTGAATGTCTTAACATTTTTTAAACGATGTTTGCAGGGTGAAATTCTATTTCTGGCTTAATTGGAGTCTACATAAACAAGAGGAGGGCTCTGGGGAGCTGGGGAGGCATAATAGTCCCACAGCTTAGCAACAGGGAAGATAAGAATTAGCATGATTCGGGACTGGTAGAAGGTTAATGCAGGTAGGGATTTCCCCTGTAGGTCTCAGCATCGTATTCTTTTTTTTTTTTTTATTTTTTATTGGATTTTAGGTTTTGGGGTACATGAGCAGAGCGTGCAAGACCGTTGCGTAGGTACGCACATGGCAGTGTGCTTTGCTTTTCTTCTCCCCTTCACCCACATTTGGCATTTCTCCCCAGGCTATCCCTCCCCACCTCCCCCTCCCACTGGCCCTCCCCTTTCCCCCCCAATAGACCCCAGTGTTTAGTACTCCCCTTTCTGTGTCCATGTGTTCTCATTTTTCATCACCTGCCTATGAGTGAGAATATGCGGTGTTTCATTTTCTGTTCTTGTGTCAGTTTGCTGAGGATGATGTTCTCCAGATTCATCCATGATGGATTAAAGACTTAAACATAAGACCTGGCACGATAAAAACCCTAGAAGGAAATCTAGGCAAAACTATCCAGGACATAGGAGTAGGCAAGGACTTCATGAACAAAACACCAAAAGCATTGGCAACAAAAGCCAAAATAGACAAATGGGACCTAATGAAACTCCACAGCTTCTGCACAGCAAAAGAAACAGTCACTAGAGTGAATCGGCAACCAACAGAATGGGAAAAAATTTTTGCAGTTTACCCATCTGACAAAGGGCTGATATCCAGAATTTACAAAGAACTCAAACAGATTTACAGGAAAAAAACAAACAAGCCCATTCAAAAGTGGGCAAAGGATATGATCAGCATTGTATTCTTATGTTAGGCAAGAAAAGGAGAGATCTTCCGAGTTTCTGTAGGACTCCAACTAGAAAGCCTGCATCAGCTACTTGGGCTGAAACTTTCTTCCATCAGAAAAGGAGGCAGGAGGAGAACTTGGTCTGGTTGGGAAATAGTACTGTTCAAGCATCCCCCAAAGTAGGGTTGGTTTATCCATTAGATGCAGCAGGCAGTGTCTAGGGGGTCCGTGATACTTCTGAGTTTTTGTTCTTTGAGACAGTCTTACTGTGTCGCCCGGGCTGGAATGCAGTGGTGCCATCTTGGGTCACTGCAACCGCCTCCTAGGTTCAAGCAATTCTCCTGCCTCAGCCTCCAGAGTAGCTGGTATTACAGGCACCTGCCACTATGTCCAGCTAATTTTTTGTAGTTTTAGTAGAGACTGGGGTCTCATCATGTTGGCCAGGCTGGTCTCGAATCCCTGACCTCGTGATTTACTGGCCTTGGACTCCCAAAGTGCTGGGATTAACAGATGTGAGCCACTGCGCCCAACTTAATTTTTTAATTACATTTAAAACAAAGAAAAATAAAGGACCTAATAATAAATATATGATGATGAACTCAGCCTGGTTTATATTCATCTATATAGCAGTACAGTTGTAAAGTATAACTTTTAATTATTTTCTGGAAGAAGGGACGGTGACAGAATGCCTGGGGCCCATGAAATGACTTTACTAGACATTTAACTTGCCAAGCACTCTCCACTCAGTGCCATTTGGGGACTGCAGTAATTGCAGTAATCCCAGCACTTTGGGAATCCGAGGCCGGTAAAAAGCACTCTCTCTAGTAAAGAAAACATTAATAAGGAAAAAAAATCTGTTTTTTTCTCTCACTGTAGATTCTACTGACAGCGTCTTTGAGAAAAAAAACTATGTTGGTTAACAAAAATGTCAAGTGCACATTCTCTCTAGGTTTCTAACAGTGCCTTGATGGGCACAGAGCTGGCATTCAACAATTGATTGTATATATTGGATATTGACTTAAAGAAAAAGCGCATTGTTCTTATTCATTAAATACAACTGTTTATTGAGCATCAGCTGTGTGCCAGGCACTGTCCTAGGTGCTACGGATGTAACAGGAAATGAGACATTCTCTGTTAATTCAAAGAGCTTCAGAGCAGGGCAGTAAGAAGAAATACAAACACGACATTTTCAGTAGGTGGTGGGTTGATTAAAAATGAGGTGGGGGAAATCTTTGTTTTCTGATTTTCATTTTAAAAAGTGTGTCAGCCTCCCAATTAAAAGAGGTTTTCCTCTATGACATTCAGAGACAAGCTAAGGCAGTCATGAGTACATGAGACAGATACCGCCTTGTTTACGGTCACTAAGATTCTTAAGTTATTTAAAAATAGAGGATGTTTAATGATTTTCAGTGAAATGAGAACTTCCCCCTAAACAGCTGGGGGAAATCCCTAAGCGAGGTGGGGGTTTGGCCATCCAAGCCCTTAGAATTGGTGAGGGTTGTTTCTGTGGGAGGGCTAGAGCTTTTTCCTCACTGTTGCTGGGCCTGCTAGGATTTATGATAAATTTTGAGATTCAGCTGATAGAAGAATGAGTTTCACGGGGGCTCTCCAAGTCACTTTCTTTGAAGTAAGCGCCAGACTTAATTCATTTAGTGTCTCGGGATGAGACTTTCAGCCATTCCCATAATAGACATGTACTGCACGCCCTGCATGTACCAGGCTCTGTGCTAAGTTTGCTTTCCAAAGAGGAACAAGAGAGACAATACTTCTGCCCTCATGGTGTTTACTTTCCCATTTTCTCGTCAAGAGGGAGAGGTAATCCAACTTTCAGACGACAGACGGGGTGACCGCAGGGTTCTAAAAGTGCCATTCTACTGGCTATCTTTTATTTTGGCTTTTTGGTAACAGCAACCCAATTCTCCCTGGCATACGGTCTTATATTGCTCAAGGGATTCTGTCTTTCTCTAGCCAGGAAGAGGGCTTGTGACCCAAGTTTCATCAATCAGAATCTCTTTCCTGGAGTTTTGAGGGGCTGGGTCAAAACTCATGAGCATGTGGCCGGATTCTGAAAAGAAGACTGCCACTGACATCACAGAGTAGGGGCTGGGTGTTGATTCCATGAGCATGTGGCCGGATTCTGGAAAGAAGACCGCCATTGATGTCACAGAGTAGTCATGAACAACCGTAATGGACTGGACCAGTGAGTTAAGAGGAACTTTTGCGTTACTTTGCCATTCTCTGGACTGGGTTAGAAACGATATTGACCCTAATTCCCTTCCCCCAGCGCCTCCTTTTTGGAACTCAACAGGGATCATTAAGAAGAAGAATATAACCATAGACTCATGCTGCCCGGGTCAACATGAGACGATGGAAAGAGCCTGGGAGTTGTACAGATTTTGGTGGGCAGTTTCCTGCAGCCTAAAACTGTAACAGCAGCTCCACAACGTTTTGGTGAAGTTTAGATCTAGAAGGCCCCATTTAAAGCCCACGTGCATGAATGTCAGTTCTTTGCCCTCCCTTACTTTCACTTCTCCTGCCCAAACCCCGCCACATACTGTCATCATAACTAGCATGCTGCCAAGTTGGCTGGAAGTTTTAAAATAATGTGCAAAAATGTGCAATAACAACTCTGGAGAAAGAGGTGGCATAGGGTTGGAAAGCCGGTAAGTGAATCTTCAGCCACTTCCTTCTCCCTTCAGACCGTGTGGGCTTGGAGTGAAGTGTGGGCCTGACATGTGACAACTGGCTGGATGTGTGGCTCTGAACTCTGCCTGGCATGAACACTGGAGTCAAGTGTGGGCCGGAAATGTGACAACTGGCTGGATGTGTGGCTCTGAACTCTGCCTGGCACGAATGCTTCTATTTCAGCTCTTCTGTGATTGCCATATCACCAGCATTTGCAGAAATGGAGGATTAATTTTATTGTGCATTGGCTCAGCAGATCTGGTGACATAATATTGCACTACGAAGAAGGATTACTCACCAGTTTCTGGATGCTACATTTTTAGAAACTGACTCCATTTAACGATGAGTGTTGGATCTAACAACTTCCCCCTCTTCCCCGCTCCCACCTTCCAATCACCCAACCAACAAATATTCCTTAAATGTAAAATCCAGCTCTCATGGGACCAGATGGATACAATTTTTCTTCAGGATAAAATTCTGGATGTTGCCCCAAAGTAAAGGTTTTATAATACTTCTTCATTTATTAAAAACAGATGTGCCATGTTTATACTATCGCTCCAAGCCCCCCTTTTTTGGCTTATGGAAAGCAGTTTGTGTAAGGTAAAATAATATAGCATTTGTCAGTCATTTCAGAAGAAAAAAATATAAAAACTGTACAGTAGTCTGCAAGCCAGACAGGGAATGGGATCATAAGGAAATATGGCTACATCCTATGGCAAACAAGGAAGAGGAGACCTTGTTTCTACTTCTGTCGTACATCTACTCAGTGCTTCTTCCTCTTCCTTTCCTTTCCATGGAGTCTCACTCTGTTGCCCAGGCTGGAGTGCAGTGGCGCAATCTCTGCTCACTGCAAACTCTGCCTCCGGGTTCAAGCAATTCTCCTGACCCAGCCTCCCGAGTAGCTGGGACTATAGGCTCCCACCACCACGCCCAGCTATTTACTTTTTTATTTATTTATTTTTAGTAGAGATGGGTTTTACCAGGTTGGCCAGGATGGTCTCAATCTCTTGACCTTGTGATCTGCCCGCCTCGGCCTCCCGGTGTTGGGATTAAAAGCGTGAGCCACCGTGCCCGGCCTCTACTTAGAGTTTCAACGCATCCTCTTTTCACCTATGACCTCCATCTGCTGAAAGAGAGACTCAGAGGCAGGCTGTTATAAGGTCTAGTGTCTGGCAGAACTCAGTCTCACACTGCATGCTGTAATCTTCCTACCTGCCACTAAGCCAGTACCGTTTCCCTTACCTGCTGCTTTTCTTCAAGAGCGTTTCCCCCATCCTCACCTAGGCTACCTCACAGAGCCTTGTTTTTCTCCAGCTA